AAAAAAAAAAAAAAAAAAAAAAAAAAAAAAGGGTAAATTTCAGCAAGCTCACAGACTTCGCTATTTTCTTTTGTTGTTGAGCTTGGTTTGGCTTGGGGCAGCGGGGGAGGGGTGGGTGCAATGGGGGTGTGTGTGAAAATCTTCCACTCCAAAGAAACCTTCTTTCTGTTTTTAAAAATACGTCCTATTTAGTCTTCTCTGTTCTAGTCAGCCCAGGTCTTTCCTTCGGCTAAATCAGCGAGTAAAATTGACACCATAAATTCTGCCATAATTGTCAGTACAATTTTATCTGTCTATACATACGTATACATATAAGCCGAGATGCTAGTAAAATGCAACGGGTTGTTTTTATTTGCCACGGGACACTTAAAAGGGGGGAGGGGGGGGAGAAATCTCAAACGTGAGGGAAAGGGAAGGAAAAAAATGGTTGACGTTTGAAATAACATATTTTGCATGCACAATTATCTCTAGAAGGGAATTTAAAATGAACGCCTGGTAAGGACAGCCTTCTCCCAGAGCTTGTCGAAGCACACTTAGTGATAGACATTTTCTGGGGAGGCTAATTAACCATCTCAGCTTAAATGTCGCTGTCCAAGCTGATTTACATTATTGTCCCCACTGAAGAACATCGGACATTTTGATTTGGTCCTAAATCCCCCCCCTCCCCGCCAGGCGAATTTATTAAAACCGCGTTAACTCGGGACTGTGCCCCCGCTGCCATCCGAAGGGGCTCCCTCCTCGCACTGCTAAGCGCCAGCTAACCAAATTATATCTGGGAGGGGGAAGCTGATCCTCATCTTAGGGAAGCTATGGCATTTAGAACCTGAACCAGACCATTTAGGATGAAAATAAGCCCAAATTTTTATCACCTGGCGCCTGCGTTTTTAGAACCGTGGGTTTGCCTTGGCTCAGGAATAATCCTGCTACTCGCCTTGCCCCTACAGCTGCCCTAGCCCTGCCACGCCTGCTGGTGGGATTCAGTGTGCCGTGGAAGATCCCCTCCTTAATAATCTTAAAACATCACAAAATATAAAAGAATCAATATATTTTATTTGGCAAAAAGTTAAATATCATTTCAACACAACGATTTGGTCAGTAGGCCATGAGGTAACTATTTCAAAATAGACAGTGTACGTTCTGCATCAACATAACTTCCCGGATTTATTTTTTTAAATCGATACAAATTTACAATAACCAAATGTAGGTTTTTATAGTGTATAATTTATTATCAATAAAATTCACCTTCATTACAATAACCATCAAATCATTCGATTAAAATTAAAACGTAAACCATAGGTAGTTACCCTTTTCACATATACGTATAGCTCCGAAATCTGATAACGGCTCACTGGTGCAAAAACAATATTTAAGCTAGTCTGTTTATTTACTTTTTTTTTTTTTAATATATAGATTATATATACAACCGACAAAGACAGTACTATATATATATATCAACTGTGCATACTAAAATGACTTGCTTCAATATTTTGAGAAGCGTAATTCCCAGACATCCCGGACAAACTTTTTTCCTACTTTTTTTTTTTTTTTTTTACAATCAAAGGTTAACTGTCTAATTATACAGAAAAGACTTAATACACTACAGAGCTATACTCTATGCAATTTTTATAATAAACAACCTGAGTTCAAATTGAATTCTAGCTTACACCATTACATCCGGTACAGCACCCAAGCACATAAATTGAGTCACAAACATAATTACCACAATAAAACACAGTGTTCAAGTATTAGAGCAGAGATCTCTCTGCCGCGCAAAGAGCGAATAAAATTAGCTACATAGACTAAACTATACAGTCCGTAAATAGTTGTGCATCATGAAAAGGTAGTTTTTTCTTTTTTGTTTTTTTTGTTTGTTTTTTTTTCTTTCCATAAGTGAAGAAAACAGGTAGATTTATACAAGCCAGCTAAACAGCCTTTTCTTGCTAATGCCCCCTTTTTCTTTCCTATTAGAAAATTAAAAGTCTTACTGTACCTCTCCTGGCAAACTGGCCTCTGTGACAATCAAGGTACAATCATAATCTGAATTTGCCATGGGAAAAAAATGAGGCCTGGACCCAGACGCATTGCATGGCAGGGCTCGAGGGGAGGATTTTTTTGTTTTGTTTTTAATTTTTTTCTTTTTTTTTTTCTTTTTTTTTTTTAACTTTAAGCATTTTCATTTTAACCCGCGTGTCACCATCATTCGTCCTTTGCTCGATCTTTGTTGATTTTCTTCATTTTCATCCTCCTGTTCTGAAACCAGATTTTCACTTGTCTCTCAGTTAAATTGAGGAGTCTGGCCACCTCGTATCTACGGTCCCTAGTGAGATACATATTGAAGAGAAACTCCTTCTCCAGTTCCAGCGTCTGATGCTTGGTGTAAGGGCATCGCTTTTTCCTGGTGGACCTTGCGTGGAGCCAGTTTGCAGCTGGATTATCTACAACGAAAACGACAGGAGAAGTTCAGACTCGGGGGATGGGGGGGATAAAGGGAGGGGGCTGGGGAGGGAGACCCACGCAGGACCAGCAGCGTGGCTGTCCCGATATTGGGGTTTAGGACGTGGCTCTCATGTCCCCAGGCACAGAGGATGGTGAGACACAATGGACTCCAAAACACAGACACATGGAGAGGTCACACGCAACCACACGCGGCAAAGCCCCGCCGCCCCCACCTCCCCTCGCCTTTTTTATTGTTTGTAGGATGCAATTTTAAAATACGCTTTCTCCTCCTCTCTCTCCCCCTCTCTCTCTCTTTACTAGCTCCCTCCCTCCTCCCTGGTCTCCCCACGCACACCCCCCTGGAACTGCCAGCCCTGGGACTGACCGGCCAGACCAATATGTCATCGAAATTGTTTCACTTTTTAATTTCGACCTTCTCCCGTGTCATGACTAGCAAGAGCCAGGGAGCTGGCGAGTCAGTCTACAGCTGGCATAATCAAAACCTCGCCGGTTTAGGAGCCTTATTCACACGGCGTTAATGGCGATAGCAATCCCGAGGCGCTCTGCCACCAGTCCCGCAGCCCGAGGAGCATCCAGCCCGGGGGGTTTCCACCGAGGAGACGCCGGGGGGAGGGAAGGGACACTAAGTCAGCGGCGAGGTTTCTGCTCTGAGCCCCGCAGTAGCCTCCCCGGCCTGCGAGCCGTCTCAAAAAGATCCCGTTCACATCCAGTGCTTTCCGGGCACCCTCTCCCCGGGGTCTGCCCACGCCGGGGAGCGCGGCGAGGCAGGAGGATGCGAGCACGTCCTGCGGAGTTTGCTGGGGTGGCTGGGACGGGGGATGGGCGGCTTTTGCCTTTCTCTTTTTTTTTTTTTTTTTTTTTTATTTTTTT